TGGATGTCTTTTTCTTAGCTCTGCTGTTTTAAAGACTAGACTGTAATTTTCTAGCAATTTTCATTTCTAGTAATTCTTCATTCCTTTCTTCAATCAAGGATCTTTTCCACACTGTTGCAGAAGGTGTTCCTAGCCTGGCTTCTAGACCATGCCTTCTTTGGACCATACTGGAATAGACCTTCAGTCACTGTCACTTGTTTCATGTCGAGCATGCCCTCTTTCCCACCATACTGCCTTGGGGAAGCATCTCCCTTACAACAACTTTGTGGAACTTTGAAGTTTGATATGTTTCTGTTGCCTGCCCACAATGAATTTGGTCTTGTTGTAACAAGTCCCCAGCTCACCTTCTACTAACAGATGGAGGACTGCTTACAGTACATCTTCTGATGGTCCTGACAACTGCAGTGAGGAATGGAAAAACAGAATGGTTGGCCACAGAAACAGCGATGTGGTGGATGAAATCCTTTATTGGAATCCTTTACATGCAATATGATAAAAAAATGACAGCTCCAAGACAGGGTAGAGGACTGCTTGTCTGTGGAGGGTTTATACAGATTCAGCACTCACCGGGAACGGATCTTTTGCTCTTTCAACTGCAATCTTGTCCTTTCCTGTTAGGGTTTCCCCAGTCTTTAGAGTCGTTCTTGGCTGTGTTGGGTCTAGATGTATCCTCTACTCTCTCAGCTAATGTTGTTACCTGCAGAACAATGAGCCATTGGCAAGAAAAGCTGTCTTATTCTGAATCAATCAAGTCAGATGAGTTTACCCCTGAGAAGTCTCCTGCTATTACTCCAAAGTTAAAGAAGACCATTTCAGCTCCTTTATTGATGTGTAGTGCACATCACCCTTAAATAAAGGATCAGCCTGTTGCTTATACCAGTTCTGTTTCCAGCCTTTGGTCGTATTGGGCCCCTAAAGCAGCAAAGTCTTTCCCTTTTGCACCCTTTTTTCCAACTGTTTCTTGGTCATTTGTTTCATTAAGTTTTCAATACAGATAAAAAAGGAGGGGGAGCAGTCAACTAGCTGCTGGGAGAGGTGGCTGGAGCTGAAACAAGTACTGACTGTGCATACAGTAAGAGAATTAGAGAGAGCTTGTCCAGATGCCAAAAATAAATAGGGAAATAGAGGGAAAAGAAGAAAATAGATTGACCATGGAGATAGAGTGAAGTGGGGAGGTGATTATGTGAACAGTGAATGTGAGTGTGTGACAAGATTAGCAGCACAGAAAACTAAGGGGAAGAGAGAGACACTATATTATGGGAAAGATGTTCTCAAAGGAGAGGAACAAGTATGAAAGACAAAAATAAAAATGCAATTGGCGCAAGAGAATTTGTAGTGGATATAACGTTCACTCAGTAAATCTTAAACAAAATAATCCAGTAAACAGAAATTAAGATATATAATTATATATGCTAGTAATAAAAAGACAACAAGTAAATGATGCAGCTTTAGTGGTGAGGAAAGGGAAGGGGGGAGGGGAGGGGGAGAGGGAAAGGAGGGGAAAAAAGACTTGTAATGCAAACAGTACTGGATTGAGATAGATGGTATATATATATGTATACATATATATACAAAGCTGCAATGTAGACACCGTCGTGAGGCTTGCACTTTCTAGAGTAAACCGGATTCTGTGGTAAATAGAGAAAAAAGAGAAGTGCGCCGGACTAAGTGCAGTAGGAATATAACAGTTTATTGCACACAAGATTATAAAAACTCACAAGAAGTGGGTAGATATCAGGCATCAATATATAAGGAGGAGGATGTCATCTGTGCTGCACCTCACAAATGGATGGCTGCAATGCCAAGGTGTTGCGCGGCTGCCGCTCTAGGTGGGTCCCACAGGAGGAAGCGAGGGTGGCAGTCGCAGTAACCGGGAGTCGCGGCGCAGATAAGAACCGGGATCCAGGGCAGGCACTGCTGATCTCTCACATCAGCGTGGGTATAGGAGCCAGCTTGAGGCACATCCAAGTATGAGCCTGGAGGCTAACAGCGCTGTTTACTAGCCAGCTGTGCTTGTTTGTGATCTGTGCTGATACCTCTCCCTGCTGTGTTGAAAGACTACTAATTCTCACCAAGGATGTTACTGGTGGTATAGGAACTCATTTTCCTCAGCAGAAGAAGGCTAAGGAGCATACTGTGAAGTTATCTCTCTTTGAACATCAAGAAACATCCCTTTTGTTTCTCCACCCCCTCAACTTTAGCATCAAGGCCCCACAAGCTGGGCCCTCAATTCACCTGCAAACTCTGGCACTTCAGGTATGCCAAATCCTCAGACAAGCCTTCCTTGGCACAAAGGTGTTCTCCCACACTCCAGAGAGCAGGGGACCTCTGTTGACCTTTGCAGACACTTCTTGCATTCCTGATGCCTGGGTGCAAGATGTGGTGTCCCAGGGCTACAAACTTTACCTTTGTTCGCTGCCGCCTTCTCGTTTTCTCACTGTGTCACCTTACAGACTGGCAGATCTTAATCAGACTCTTAGGCTTTCTGGACCAGGTGTCATAGCCCTGGTCCATATTGTGGAGCATTTTTGAGGGGTTTTACTTCAACATTTTAACTATCCCTAAACTCAAATGGAGCATTCGGCCCATCCTTAACCCTCGGATTCCTGAATGTCTTCATTCAGATTGACAAACTCTGAATGACTTCAACCAGATCTGTCATTGCCTCCCTTCATCGAGGAGGCTTCTTGGCTTTTAAGTCAACATAAACGATGCTTACTTGGATGCACTCATCTTTCCTTCACACCATCATTTTCTGATGTTTGCTGTAGGATGTCTATCCTATCTGTTCATGGCCCTGCCATTCAGCCTATCTTCAGCACCTTGAATGTTTACTTGTTGAACTCTACTTTACCTGATGTGCTTTTGTGTTCTTGTGACATCCCTATTGTGGGATAGCTAAAAGACCTGTTGAGAGCATAATCAGCAATGGCTCTGTTAGACAATGTATCTCTGACATACCAAACCTTATAGATGTGTGGATGGATCCTGAACTTTCAGAAACCACCACTGAAACTCATCACATAGGAGTATCTGAGTATGGTCCTGGACACTCCTCAGGCCAGAGTTTGTTTTCCTCAGAGGCTTCAGGCTTTCAGGTCTCAGATGTTAATGCTAGGGGCAGACGTTAACTGGTGGGAGCAGTGGATGCTCTGATGGCTCCCTCAAATCTCTACTCCCTGATCTTTGCCTTTCCTCCTCTGAAACTTCCTCGCCTATTCTGCAGGATCAAGATGCAGGGGCTTCAGGTGATCCTGATTGGTCCAGGTGAATGTGGTACCTGCTAAGATTGCAGCTGGCACAACATGGGCTCTGCCAGAGAGTCCAAACCTACTCTCCCAATGGTCAATATACCATCCTACGTGTTGGTTGCTGGTGGAACAAAAAATAAATGTATGGCCACCCTTACCCATAAGGTTGTTTTCCTTGTAGCTATCACCTCTGCAAGGTGAGTGTCTGAAATGACAGATTTTATATTATAAAGAACCTTTTTTATTATAGAATGGTGTTGAGGCCAAAGATTTTCATCTTGCCTAAGGTAGTCTCTTCCTTTCATCTTAACCAGGGCATTGTTATCTTGTCCTTTTGACTTTGATTCTTCAAAAGAAACATTTTCTCATTGTCTGGATGTGGTTCAGGCTGTGCAAGTCTACCTCCCAGCAACTGCTTCTTTCATAAAAATTGGTTGCCTTTTGGTCATTCCGGATCGGACTCAGAAGGGCACCCCTGCTTCTCGTTCCAACTTCTCTAGATGGATGAGACAGAGCTACCTGTTGCTTGGCATTGTGTCAATTAAATATTCTTTACTTTCTTATCCAACCCTCAGTCAAACTGCTTTTTGTGTATCCAAGAGGTTTAAGACTTCCCTAAGTGAACAAGAAATGAGAACAAAACAAAAATCAAACAAGATTTCTATACTCATCTAAAAAAAAAAAAAAAACAACAAAAAAAATGCTTTTCTACTGCCCACAACGACCCACCTAAATTGTACAAAGGTGGCCAGAGGGGGGGTACTGGAGTTATGTGGTCAGTTTGAATGCAGCTGAGGTTTAGGAATTGTTTTATTTAATCTTCTCTAGTTACCAGTGATACCTCATACCATTGTTCGTCATTTGTACTCATTTGGCAGTAAAATTTAAGATGTTAATATTAGAATGTGTACAAGCCCAAGAACAAATATTTATATACTGTATACTGCAGCTTACCAGTCCTTAGCTGTGGTTGCTTTAGTTTTCTTTATTCAGTCTTTTTCTCTTTAATTTTACCTGGTGATCTTGCAATACTACACTTCCTGTTCTAGATTGACAGCACTCACTCACTTTACTGTATCTATGGACAAGCAGTATTGACACTCTAGGGCTGGATTACAAAGCACCTCCCTCTCTTCTCGTGTCCATTACTTAGAGGTGTTTTGTAATATCCGGGGATAGCAGAAGTGCAACACAGGTAAGGGTCACAGTAATCCGCACACAAGATTTCAGGAAGGTTCAAAATGAGTGTTTGCACTTATCAATATAACAACATGATTTTGATGGTATATTTTAACAGAACTGAAAGGAGTAAATAAGTTAATTGTTGGGGTTTATGCACCCTTTTAAACACAGGCCACAACAGTTATATTCAGTGCTGGACTAAACTCTTGCATTCATGGCAACAGTCATGTCATTTACTGATAAAATAGCTTGATTAAAATACATGAAAATGAAGTTTCATCTCATTCTTCTGTCCATTCACAAATGGGTTGCTTTGTAGGGAAAGGATTATCATATGAATAAACATTACTGAGTAACATTGGGCCAGAGAGATGTTTGTTTTCTGCTGTTGTATGCAGTTGTTTTATTATAGGTAATACCTTTAGTTTTATTATGTGCAGTAATAAGTCTATGATTGTTATACAGCATATCCTGTATTATATATTAATTACAATGCTTGCATCCCTTAAAGCTCGAATAACTAGTAATGCAGTCTATATATTAATAGATGTGAGTGTTTCTTTACAGGATTACACACATGAATTCCACAAAACAAAAGCCAATTTCCAGGCAATTCGAGAAAGGGAAGATCTCTTGGGATCAGTACGGAAGGATATTGAGTAAGTCACAAATGATGTTAGGGATTCAGTGGTTGGTACATAGCATTGCTTTCATTTCTGTGATTTACTGCTGTTTTTATGCTGCTGATCCCTTTAAAGGAACATCTAATGGTGCTTATCTCACTTCTCTAATCCTGACATGTATATTTAAATACTGTATTAGTATGGTTGCTATGGTAACTTTGTATTTTATGGTATTATTTCTGTACTGCATGTATTAGCTAAAATAATGTTTACCAAGTTTTTTGAAATTGCTGAAAGATAAAAATTTTAAGAAGATACATGGATTTATGGATTTACATGTCCTGCAGTGTACATATTTACCTGGTGTAAAAAAATAAATATATACACTATGTATACTGTTTATGTAATATATACAGGGGCTAGGCAAAAAAAATGGAAACACTACATGATTTGCAGGTGGGAAAGTGGCAATATGTGTCGCGTTGAAGGTGGAAGTGAATCTCAGTCCCGTGAAGACTGAGATTGAGCTCTGCGGTCACTTTTGCAGCAGTTGTTTTCTTATTCCAGGTCACAATCCTGCACAATGTCCTTTTGTCTCTTTCGGTCAGTTGACCATGTCGACTGTGGTTATGCTTATCAGACGTTTTCCCGGAACTGAATATGCCTTCATAACTTTGATGCTGTACCCCGCGACAAGGCATTTAAATTGGCAACTTCACTCACAGAGGCACCAGCTAAGTGATCACCAACAATTTGCCCTCTTTGAAGCTCAGTAAGCTGACATGACTCTTTATTACTAGCAGTGTATGATGAATGTCAGGCTTCCCACCTGTTAGCTAGGTGTCTGATCACACAGCAGAAGCAAGAGAGTGTTACATCACTTTTGCTTTCAATGCAAAACATGTTATCACCTTCACACCTGAAAATCATGTAGTGTTTCCATTTTTTTTTTTTTTTTTTTCAAACCCCTGTTTGTGTGTTTGCATATATATGTGTGTGTGTGTATATAATATATATAATTTCGATGGAGAGAACAGAGATACAGTACATAATATATAGATACAGTGAAGGAAATAACTATTTGTTTCCCTGCTGATTTTGAATGTATGCCCACTCACACAGGAATGATCAGTCTAAAAATTGAATGGTAGGTGTATTGTAAACACTGAGAGACATAATAGCAACAAAAAATTTAAAAGAAATGCATGTCTAACAAATTATGCACTGATTTGCATGTTCATGAGGGAAATAAGTATTTGATCCCCTATCATTCAGCAGCATTTCTGGCTACCAGGTGTCTTTCATACCGGTAACAAGCTGAGATTAGAAGCAGTCTCTTACAGGGAGTGCTGCTAATCTCATTTTGTTATCTGTATAAAAGACAGCTGTCCACAGGTGCAATCAAACAATCAGATTCCAAACTCTCCGCCATGGCAAAGACCAAAGAGCTGTCCAAGGATGTCAGGGACAAGATTGTAGAGCTACACAAGGCTGCTTGGTGAGAAGGTGACAACAGTTGGTGCAATCATTCACAAATGGAAGAAACACAAAACAACTGTCAGTCTCCCTAGGTCTGGTGCACCATGCAAGATCTCACCTCGTGGAGTGTCAATGATCATGAGAACAGTGAGAAATCATCCCAGAACTACACGTGAGGATCTGAGGATCTTTTCAATGATCTCCAGGCAGCTGGGACCACAGTCACCAAGAAAACAATTGGTAACACACTACGCCGACAAGGATTGAAATCCTGCAGTGCCCGCAAGTTCTCTCTGCTCAAGAAAGCACATGTCCAGGCCCGTCTGAAGTTTGCCACTGAACATCTGAATGATGCAGAGGAGAACTGGTTAAAAGTGTTGTGGTCAGATTAGACCAAAATCGAGCTCTTTGGCATCAACTCAACTCGTCGTGTTTGGAGGGGGAGGAATGCTGCCTATGACCCCAAGAACACCATCCCAACTGTCAAAGGTGGTGGAAACATTCTGCTTTGGGAGTGTTTTTCTGCTAAGGGGACAGGACAACTGCACCGCATCAAAGGGACAATGGATGGGGCAATGTACCGTCAAATCTTGGATGAGAACCTTCTCTCAGCCAGGGCATTGAAAATGGGTCGTGGATGGGTGTTCCAGCATGATAATGACCCAAAACACATGGCCAAGGCAACTAAGGAGTGGCTCAAGAAGAAGCACATTAAGGTCCTGGAGTGGCCTAGCCAGTCTCCAGACCTTAATCCGATTGTAAATCTGTGGTGGAAGCTGAAAGTTCGAGTTGCCAAATGTCAGCCACTAAACCTTAATGACTTGGAGAGGATCTGCCAAGAGGAGTGGGCCAAAATCCCTCCTGAGATACAGTCAGGTCCATAAATATTGGGACATCGACACAATTCTAACATTTTTGGCTCTATACATCACCACAATGGATTTGAAATGAAACAAACAAGATGTGCTTTAACTGCAAACTGTCAGCTTTAATTTGAGGGTATTTACATCCAAATCAGGTGAACGGTGTAGGAATTACAACAGTTTGCATATGTGCCTCCCACTTGTTAAGGGACCAAAAGTAATGGGACAGAATAATAATCATAAATCAAACTTTCACTTTTTAATACTTGGTTGCAAATCCTTTGCAGTCAATTACATCCTGAAGTCTGGAACGCATAGACATCACCAGACGCTGGGTTTCATCCCTGGTGATGCTCTGCCAGGCCTCTACTGCAACTGTCTTCAGTTCCTGCTTGTTCTTGGGGCATTTTCCCTTCAGTTTTGTCTTCAGCAAGTGAAATCCATGCTCAATCGGATTCAGGTCAGGTGATTGACTTGGCCATTGCATAACATTCCACTTCTTTCCCTTAAAAAACTCTTTGGTTGCTTTTGCAGTATGCTTTGGATCATTGTCCATCTGCACTGTGAAGCGGCGTCCAATGTGTTCTGAAGCATTTGGCTGAATATGAGCAGATAATATTGCCCGAAACACTTTAGAATTTATCCTGCTGCTTTTGTCAGCAGTCACATCATCAATAAATACAAGAGAACCAGTTCCATTGGCAGCCATACATGCCCACGCCATGACACTACCACCACCATGCTTCACTGATGAGGTGGTATGCTTAGGATCATGAGCAGTTCCTTTCCTTCTCCATACTCTTCTCTTCCCATCACTCTGGTACAAGTTGATCTTGGATTCATCTGTCCATAGGATGTTGTTCCAGAACTGTGAAGGCTTTTTTAGATGTCGTTTGGCAAACTCTAATCTGGCCTTCCTGTTTTTGAGGCTCACCAATGGTTTACATCTTGTGGTGAACCCTCTGTATTCACTCTGGTGAAGTCTTCTCTTGATTGTTGACTTTGACACACATACACCTACACCTCCTGGAGAGTGTTCTTGATCTGGCCAACTGTTGTGAAGGGTGTTTTCTTCACCAGGGAAAGAATTCTTCGGTCCTCCACCACAGTTGTTTTCCGTGGTCTTCCGGGTCTTTTGGTGTTGCTGAGCTCATCAGTGCGTTCTTTCTTTTTAAGAATGTTCCAAACAGTTGTTTTGGCCACGCCTAATGTTTTTGCTATCTCTCTGATGGGTTTGTTTTGTTTTTTCAGCCTAATGATGGCTTGCTTCACTGATAGTGACAGCTCTTTGGATCTCATCTTGAGAGTTGACAGCAACAGATTCCAAATGCAAATAGCACACTTGAAATGAACTCTGGACCTTTTATCTGCTCATTGTAATTGGGATAATGAGGGAATAACACACACCTGGCCATGGAACAGCTGAGAAGCCAATTGTCCCATTACTTTTGGTCCCTTAATAAGTGGGAGGCACATATGCAAACTGTTGTAATTCCTACACCGTTAACCTGATTTAGATGTAAATACCCTCACATTAAAGCTGACAGTCTGCAGTTAAAGCACATCTTGTTCGTTTCATTTCAAATCCATTGTGGTGGTGTATAGAGCCAAAAATGTTAGAACTGTGTAGATGTCCCAATATTTATGGACCTGACTGTATGTGCAAATGTGTGTAATAATGTAATATCAGATTTTAGTGTATTGAGTGAACGTCACTTTTAAACTTTTTTTAATTTGTTGCTGGTTCTGCCCCCCGTATGTCCCTTACGTCTCGACGCTCGCAGGGAACGGAACCCCGAAGACTGATGCCGGCATTGGCCAGAGACGCTGCAGGGGGGACATCGCGGGACTGCAGGACAAGGTAAGTGCTGGAGGGAATCACTGAGCAACGCTGCAGGGTAATCCCGAGTGTAGCTCGGGGCTACCGCTTCTGGTACTGAAAGTTAACCCCGAGCTACACTTGGGAATACCGCCAGCGGGGTTAAGGTCCTGGAGTGGCCTAGCCAGTCTCCAGACCTTAATCCGATTGAAAATCTGGAGGGAGCTGAACGATCGAGTTGCCAAACATCAGCCACCAAACCTTAATGACTTGGAGAGGATCTGCCAAGAGGAGTGGGCCAAAATCCCTCTTGAGATGTGTGCAAACATGGTGGCCAACTATAGGAAACGTCTGACCTCTGTGATTCCCAACAAGGGATTTGCCACCAAGTACTAAGTCATGTTTTGTGAAGGGGATCAAATACTTATTTCTCTCATGAACATGCAAATCAGTGCATAATTTGTTAGACATGCATTTCTTTTGAATTTGTTGTTGCTATTCTGTCTCTGTGTTACAATACACCTACCATTTGATTTTTAGACTGATCATTACTTTGTGAGTGGGCAAACATTCAAAATCAGCAGGGGATCAAATACTTATTTCCTTCACTGTATAGACACACTGAAAAACCTTTGTCTTGTAGTCTATTGAAGGATGCAGAAATTCCTTTAAATTTAACATATACTTTCCTCAGCAGATACTGGCAGACAGAAAAGTAGGATGCCGACCCAGTATAACCCCTCCTCTACCCAGCATCCCTCTGTTTTTTGCTAGTGTCCTAGGAATTTGAATGACTTTTCTTGAACTCTGCTGAAAAATTCTAAGGTCCCTTTTACACTGATCTGTTGAAAAGATGCAGTAAAAACACCTCCTGA